TTAGAGAAAGAAAAGCCAATATGATGCATAGACGCAAAATATCATTATTAATGATATCACGTGAATTATTAATACAAACTCTCTAAATGCACGCTCATATAATATCCCTCCCTAAATCACGCTCTCAAATTTTCAGTCCCGAGGGCGTGCATTTAGGGAGAGTTGACTGTATTACGTAAGAGTCGTTATTAGATTAGCGGGGTAGAGGTATTGCCAGCCTCGTTTGAAGAATTTAAATCTCAAGGTTAATCGCTAATGGTAACTAACTCGACAGCATTCACGAGATTATTTTTTTGGTGCCGAAAGGTAGAGGATGATATGAATTGAGGCATTGGTCTCGAAATTGAGATGTTGAATTTTCGATTTTTTTGCAACCATAAAGAAAGGGACACTTTTCCCATTTTTCAGTTATAGACGTGATTAGGAAGTACTAGTTTATAATATAATAATAAAGCAAAAAGTCTGGGGAAAGCATTATTGTAGTTTAAATACATTCTGATTTGGGTCAGGACGTAGCCATATCTAAATTTGGATGGTATTAAATGTGGGCATAGTAATAGTAACAGTTCAGGAGAGTTTTATAAATAAGCTAATATTAAAAATCTCGTTAGTCTTTTCTTTCATTTATATTGTAAACAAAGAGTATCGAAATTGCGGGATTGCAGTTCCCGATGTGACTTTCTTTCGGTGGCCGCTTCCGCATTTACGTTCCACAGTTCCACTTTTCCTCGGCTTTTTAGATTATCATAAATTGTTGAAATTGGGATATTGGTTTTCCTTCGTAATTCGTTGCCGTTTCGATTCCCATCCGCCAATGTAAATCAACTTGACATTGTTGTTCGTTTTTGGAAAGTAGCCATTTCGAAGATAATTTGGGGGTTTTTTGCAATCGAACAGCTTTGACGGCGTTGAATATATCTCGGGTACATGAGACGCGTTCAAAAATTACGGTTTTTTTGGTGACACACACTATATAATGGGATAGGTTTTCTTCTCCAACTTGCTATCAACCGTTCTAAATCTTACAGCTGCCCCCAAATGCTGAACAGCTGGCATTATTGATAAACGTGAAATGAGCGAACAACTAATCAACAGTGTGACAACTACTTATCGTTTTTTTATTATCTGTTGGCTTGCAATATTCTGATTGTTTTAAAAAAAAAGCTATCATATAATTCATTACTAGTAAAAGTTTATTAATAATTTAAATTTGCTGATTTGCGAAAAATTCCTTTGATCGCTGGCAAATTTCATTTTTACATTGTGGACATCGTAAAGGTAACTGAACAGAGACAGGTTGGCGTGACCGTAAGTGATCGGCCACGAGGTTTGCCATTGCTTCGATAAATACTGGATCATCATTCAAAGATTCTGCGCGTTTCAGCCCCGTAATCCCGGCCTATCATAGAGAACGTGCGCGTAAAAGCAATTGGAGACATAAAGAGGTTATAATCAAACCAAGTTACAAACAAGTGCTCTCTACAATAAATCTCCACTTTTTACAAATGTATATTCCGTGTATGACCTTAGAATATAGTAAATTCGATATAGAATATACTTTTAAATGTATAAGTACAAATAACCGGCACACTTCAATCCACCATCCTATTCTACTACCTAGTCCCTTGCTCATTCCAATTACCTCCTTTGCCATATGTCCATATTCCAGATCCAATTCAAATAAGGTCTCGATATGATCACTTGTAAATGCAATTGGCACCAGTAATATGTTTTTATGTCCCTTCTTTCCTAGTCCTGTTAATGCTTCGTCAGTCTTTGGTCCCATCCACGGCTGTGGGCCTACTTGCGATTGCCAGACTAGTCGATACGGGTTTGAGAATTTCAAACGCTCCATCACGCGATAGACTGTAGCCGCTACTTCGGCAGTGTACGGATCTCCCCGGTTTACCACGACCATTGGGAGGGAATGAGCCGAGAACAACAGAACTACATTTGAGCGAGACTCGGCAGGGTAGGTAGATAGAGCAGTCTCAATGTGTCTGGCAAACGCCTAAATAATTCATGAGTTTGCGGTTAAAAAGACGCGCGTTGCCTAAACACAGCTAGAGAAAATTCTATATATCTCAAAGGTACCTCAACTAAACCAGAGTGTGTTGGCCATCGATCGATAACACTCCATTTGACAGAACCGTGAGGGTCTAAATCTTGCAGTTGTCGCCATAATTCGTTAAGACTACTGCCTGTCGTAGAGCAAGAATACTGCGGATATTGGGTAAAGGCTACCGCACGCGTGACACCGTCTTCTTTCATTTGGTTTATTGCATATTCTGTTAACGGCGGTGCGTATCGGAAGGCTATATAAGCCTTGTGTGGAGCTTCAACACGTAGCAATATAAACGAAGCAATTAAAATTAGCGTAACAGATTATCATATAGTACTAGCATTATCTTATTTACTAATCTTATTCTCTAAGCCTTACCAGTCTCAGGACTAAGCTTGTCAAGCAATTGAACCATTCCTTTTCCTTGTAATTCAGTCCATGCCTTGATAGGTGATCCACCTCCTATCTTGGCGTATTGATCCCGAATGCGAGGTGTACGTCTCTTGGCTATTATCGGGGCAACACTTTTCTGGAAAGGAAGCGGAATAATATCTGGATCCGAGAACAGCCTTGTTAAAAAGTCTTGGACATCATCGAGTGTCTCTGGACCACCCAAGTTCATCAACAATACTGCGGTTGGCCTGGTAAGTATATTAAAAAACTTGTGTGAATTATGTTTCCGTCAAACAAGTATATACATCACAGCGTTCCTAAACTAAACGATGCTATGAGCATGTCGATAACATATAGCCTGGGCAACTAACATTATAACCAAAATTATAACAAGTGAGAAGAACACCAAAAGTTGGACCAAATAAATTCAAAACACTACTTAAACGATGGTTTCTAACAGTCAACATTGTCAGTTGGAATACTATACCCTTTTTTGTTGGTGGCTTCATTCGAAGATAAGCTGACATAACTTCTCGTTAACAAAGATGAGAATGTTTTTTGCCGTGAATTGACTATCAGATGTAACGAGCTATTAGCTCGAATGCGTGACATGTACGAATGACGATGTCCTGGTCATATATCTTTGATTTTAATTTACTTGCGAAATTTACCAAGAACGTTATTAATATTCCTTCTTGTCTTCAGTTGACGTAGAAATGATATTCTTCTCATAATAATAAAATTTGTCAAAACCAAATTTTTGATCAACCAACCCCTAAATTAGGATGTTCATGTAACACAAGGTTCTAACAAGGTATAATTTGTTGAAGATCAAGCGACTTGGGAACCGACTTCTCAACTTGAGGATGGGAACTGATATATCGTAGACCACTAAATGCAGTACCCTGGGTATATACCTAAAACATCTTGATTGACTAGAAGTGAGGAAAGGAGCAAATATCATTGGTTTGCGTACATTCTTAAACTCTGCTCCTTATATTAGATACCGCGATGGCGCCGCGTGGAAACAAGCACGTCAAAAGAGCTACTGTCACTCACAACTTAATAACTTATTAGTGTATTATATTAACCGAATGTACTTGGGTACATAAAATTTATTTAGGGGGAAATTATTTTGAGGGGTGCTGTATCCAATGCTGTATTATTGGTTTCGACTGTCAGTTATTACGCTCGATATGATCTTATTACACTAATCCAAGACGAGGAATCGAATGCATTAGCTTATACGAATCAGTAATGTTTTGTTCTTTGTTAGCATAAGAATAATAAGACGTTATAAACTCTATCGAGATATTCCCAGCCAATTCTATAACCAGACATGGTAAGTGACCATCGGATTTATTTATAGGTAAATTTTCGCGATTTGAACCGTTTGTTACAGCCTGTGGACGTAAATTGATTTCTGAAACAATTATAAAGTTAAACTGACCGAAATAATGGATATTATTAAAGAGTAACTTTAGTTCATCTATTAATTTAAGAATTTTCTTTCATACCGAGCAGTTTCTGCATTCTTTTCACATCCTTCATAGGGTTAAGTCATTATATAAATCATTCAGATAGAAGAATTTATTATGGAGATTGCCACGATATTTCTTTTTGGTTGGAGTTTCTCTGATATAAATTCTGGAACTTGGCCCTTTCCTCATTTCCATTATTATTCTTTGCAACACCAGAATGTTGTGTAGATGATGAACAAACATAAAAACAGAGGTCACGTCGCGTAATTTCTGGTTCTAACCATAAATGGGTAGGATGTATGGTTGTGTTGCGTACGTCAGCGTGATTAGCACGTTAGCCTTTATTATTAAAAAAATAAAATAGAATATTATAGAACGTGACATGTCTGTTGATATTCTATATTGCATCACCCTAAACTGAACAATACCTGATGTGATAAGAGGAACTGAACATAATAAATTAAATTTGTGTTTATTGGATTAACTTTACTTGAAGTTATAAAACCTCTAATTTCTAATCATAGAAAATTATCTATTTCTATGCTAAAATTACTTTATAATCGACACTTTCTAAAGCCGTTTGTTGACACCAGTAACGGATACGATTTATGGTTTATGTGACAGTAGTCTTAACTGATGAGCAGACATTTAACCGAGGTATCGAGAAGCCGAGTTATCAGGCCGACTTATCGAGGTTGACTATGTAGTACCTTATACAAGTGAATTTCCCATATGTTAGATCATGTAACCTGAATGCTAGTTATGCCAAATTTTCAATATTACGGCACATTAATCGCGTAAAAAGGAAAGTGAAATTGTGATGGCTCTAATTTAACTGTTAGTTGGCATTATTATTATTATTATTATTATTATTATTATTATTATTATTATTATATTATTATTATTATTATAACCGCAATCCTGTAACGTGAATCACGTGAGATGATATATTTGCTTCAACAAAAATTTTTAAGTGTGCCAACAGAATGAAGTGTCCATCAATTTATAGAACTACTACGTATGCCCGCAGAATTTTCGACTCAACACTGAACAGATATACAACAATGTCTCATGCCGCAAAGTATGATCTATGGAGTAGGGAAGAGTTGATAGTAAAGTTACTCGAGTACGAATCGAATGCAACAAGAAAACACGAGTCGAACGATAGTGAAAGTGTTTATTCTTCCATATCAACCGATTCCACCACATCGTCACTAAAAAACAAAAAGACAAGACGTAACAGACAATTCGACATGTCTAAATATTCACAGAGATATATTGCCTTCAAGGTAGCTTATCTCGGATGGAATTATCACGGTTTCGCAGTTCAGGCAGACGAGGAAACATGTCCTACAGTAGAAGGACAGATATTCAAAGCGCTCATGGCAGCCAAACTCATTACTGATCCGTCGTCCTGCAAATTCTCCCGTTGCGGCAGGACGGATAAAGGAGTAAGTGGGTTAGGACAGGTTATTGCATTGAAAGTACGATCTAATATGCCTGTTGATAAAGTTGAGGATAGAGACAATAAGGTAGAGAAGAATAGTGGAGACTTTAACGAGACCGAGGATGATCGAAACGATAATAATAATGAGAATGGAAAGATTAATGACAAAAACCAGTCTAAAGAAGAAATGCCGTACGTCGATATTCTGAATAGATTGCTACCACCGGACATTAGAATACTTGCATGGTCATCTATTCCCGAATCATTTTCAGCAAGATTCTCGTGTTGCGGAAGACGATATAGATACTTTTTTCTAAAATCGACCTTGAACATTGAACTGATGCAGTCGGCATGCAAACAATTTATAGGCACACATGATTTCAGAAACTTTTGCAAGATAAACTCTAGCCAGGATGTTACCAATTATGAACGGACAATTCTCGATGCAAAGATATTAAAAGCTAGCGAGTGTGGCAACCCTGTGCCGTATAGTGATATTGACGAGTTTTACGTCTTTGAAGTTAGAGGCACGGCCTTTTTATGGCATCAAGTGAGGTGTATGATGGGCATTCTGTTTCTCATAGGGCAGGAATTGGAGCTGCCCTCGATTATATCATCTCTTTTTGATATTTCCACTATTCCTTCACGTCCTGCATACGAGATGGCAAGCGAGCTTCCTCTTGTTCTTTATGATTGCGAATTCAATGGACTTGATTGGAAACATTCTCCAAGTACAGTAGATAGACTATATCACCACATGTATCAACAATTTTATGGATATTTTACCAAATCAATGATTGCTTCCACTATCTTGAAATCACTTGGTGTTGATACAATACAGCATGGCATAATAAATGGAGGAGGACAGGAGTTAAGAAAGAGAAAATATGTGACTCTTTTAAATAAAGACAGATGCAGTAGTGTTGATGAAAAGAGAAAGAAACGCAAGGAAAAGAAAGAGTAAGACCAATACTAGATGATTAATAATGCCAATAGATGATACGTAAAATAAAGCAGGATTATGGCAACTTGGTTTATTTATAGGCGTTAACCAAGATCGCCAATAAAGACACGAGCAATTGTTGTATAATTCGTGATACCAGTCGAATGAATGACAGAGCAATCACGTACGTTTATGGTCTTGTATTTTTGTTCTTTTACAAATGTATAAATATAATACAGGAGAATAAATAACTTTCATTCTCAATAAACAGCGAGATATAATCTCAAATTGTAGTCATTCTGTACAAAGCCACGACAAACGCAGCAGAATCAACAAACAGCGATTGAAGAAATACTAACCAATTTCCAAGAAGCGCAAGATAATCTCACCAAGAATCTTACTGATTATTCGAATCAAATAAACACTCATCTCTACTCAAAAAGAAGGAAAGAAAGGAAAAAGGCAAAACTAGCATAAATGGCTTGAACACGGTTGGTAAATACAAATAATCGCTCATTAATCAGAATATCTTCTCCGAAGATATTCATCCATGGTAAACGATCTGGGACAATGGTTGACTACCGGCCGCTCAACAGGCATTCTACCAGACATTATAGGACCTTTTGCTCCATCCATTACTTCTCCCGAGTCCGAATCCGATCCAAGCCAGGCATTTATTATCCAGCTCTTGTTAACCAGTCTGGACCTAACGGGCGCAGGCAGAGTACGAGAAGTTTTTGAGCGTGATTCTATTACTCGTGAATTATTGTCGAATACGCCCATTCGCGGGAACGTTCCCATCTTGGGATATTTGAGATTTTTCGGTGCATATCGGGTAGGATTTTTCAACACTTTAATAATAATGAAGAGAATGGAATGGGTTCACAAGTTAGTCATTTGTAAGTAGATGCAGATTATTCAGCGCTGGTAAAAATGATCATGGTGTAGAACGTATACTAAGTAAAATGGTTTCAATTCAAAAATGCCAAGCTAAATCCAATCCAACCCAATCCAACAATAAAACGTATCACTGGTTACTAATCTCGATCCATACTGAACAACCAACCAATTGAGAGACTTACAAACATTGTACTCTGCTTTAAGCTTCTGTATCTTGTCTTTTCTGTCTTGGATCATACTCAGTTTCAAGTGTTTCAATTGCCACTAAAAATAAAAGACGGTTATTACATTCGTTAGCTGAATATAAATTGCCATTCCCGTGTAATCTAATACCAAAGATACACCATTAAACGCAGATTGCGCAAATTCCCTCGGATCCCTCTGAGCTCCATGCTCGTGTTCTAATTTTTGGTTTTCCCTCAAGATTTCACACACACACACACACCCTCACACCCTCACCTTGAAGTTATCAGATGCCTGTTTAACCATCCCTTCCTGTAAATTCTTCGCTCGCTCTTTGCCATATCTGAGCCAGGCATTGGCTAAAAGTAATCGTTTGTCTCTTTGAGCAAGTAGAGCCGTATTGACAGCTTCAAATTTAGGATGATGACCTGCTTCTATGGCTTCATATTCTTTATTTATCTCTCTCTCTCGTACCGCAAACATACTGTATCGCAGATCAAGTAGTGTAGGGGGTGCAAAAAGGTCGAAAACAGAGCATAGAAGCAGGTTAAAATTATAAAATACGCTTTCAAGAGTGTGGTGCTGTTCAACATCATAGCATATCTTGACGCCTGTTACAAATTTCATCACTGTGTTTCTCTCATACCCTCTCTAACGTTATGCTCGACTCACTTACCAGTTTTCTAACGTAGCAATTCTTGTCTCAATCTGGGTTATTTTGCTCCTCACACCAGTTAATTCGTTACTTAATGCTTTCGTTGCAGGATCTGTCTCTGTAAGGCTCGAATCTAACATATCAACCTCCTCGTCGTCGTCTGATTGACTGGTCTCGGTCTGAGTTGCATTATAATAACCTTCGTCTGATTCGTAAGAGCTGGCATCGTAAGTTTCGGTAGTCTCTACGACGGTGTCTGGGGAAGTCGAATGTGTTAGATGTAAGAGGAGATCTTCGGGAGAGTATGGGCGAGGAGAGGGTTCGGTTGGAGAGAGATATGGTGCATGGTTACTGCGGTTGCGCTTTTGATTTTGGGAAGGAGACATTATTAGGACGTAATATACAAGAAGGAAAGGAGTGGGGAGAGGGGGGAGGGGGAGAAGAGAAGGCGAAGGAGCGGATATCGAATGGCTAATGTGTGGTGTTCGGTATACTTAGTAATTGCGACAACCTAGTGCTTGTAATTATTCTATAGATGTATATATCCTTAATATTACTCGAAGTGTGTGTGAGGATACGAAATGGGGCGGGGTTGGATAAATCGATAAACGGATTGGATATATTAATATTCCCTTGATTGTTGATGTCGCGTTACACAAACGCGCAGTCTTACGCCAAATGTAATACACACATCGGAGTTAACGAAGCATAAACGTATCAAACAATGAGACGTGTCTTTTAAACCAGTCGAGTATAGAGTTTTATATAATCACAATCGAATACGTATGGCGTTAATGCGAGAGCGAAACAATTTGACGGTAAACAATGGCAGGTAAACAAACAATTGTCCAAGCCCGCTGCGCTGCTTTTATGACGTTTATACTATTAGTGGACGCGCAGCATGTTATTACAGTGACCATTCACGTATTCGTCAATAGCGTTTTGTCTTATAACAATACAAACGATAGGGTGCAATACCGTATATTGATTGATTCAAAACGTGATTCATTAAAAAAATGATTGTTTGTTTATGTTTCAGAAAGGTTTCACTTTGCATACATTTTTGAGAACGTAAGCAAATACGTACATATACGTAACCGGAAGCAAATGCCAAAATGCCAAAATTTACACTATCCATTTTTGCGATAATAAATTTTGCACTATACATTTCGGAGATAAGAATGTCAAATCCGCAACAAGTATTAAGTGCCTTGCTCAGATTGACGATTCCAGAGATGATTGACCCCACGTGCACACACACATGTGAGTAGTTTGTCCATACCTCCCTTCTCTCAAAAAAGTAAACACACACGTGAAACGGTGATCTGGTGCAAATCTTAAGTCATTTGATTTAAAACTATTGAAAGTATAAAAACCAAAGATGAAATATACTGTTGTTATGTCGCATAACACATTGTATCCATTGAAACAATCGAATCTTTTCCCCCTTCAATGGTGAGATGCTGGAGATCAGCAGATCCCTTGCAGATTTTCTAGCCTTGACGATCACACCTTAATTATTTAAGACTGTTTCGTCTACTTGATGCAAGTCATTGGGCGTTGTGCCGTGTATAAAAACGGTTTGCTATAATGCAATCCAACTTGTACCTACTTGCTGCATTAACCATTATCCCAGTTACACCAAAGCTTTATCAGCACATATAGACATCGCTAAAAATAGATCAATTAATCCTTGACACACAGCCAAATCATATGCAAGTTGCAGCTACCAAGTCATCAAAAATTATCATACAGATTGAAATAAATAAGTTTCTTTTTCGGATAGCTTAATGATACAAGTTTAGTGACAGTATTTATTATGCATTCTGCAAGTCAAATTGTTCAATATCGATTGTCAAATATTCGGTATTGTGAATCCGAGCTTTCCGATTTTGTTTCGACTGTGGCATAATCTCTAAACGCCAACATAATTTGTCATCCATTTAACAATTAATGGTTCCGATTTGCCGGTAAAGTTCACATACCAAATTGCCAAGTCTAATGGTGCACACTGACACTATAGTATTTAAGGGAACACTTATATTCACAGAATTTAGGCTTAGAGACTGACATAGTTTTTTCCATGCTAAAAGAGAAAGCACGATTGTATTAATTAACGTCCACCGGATAGAATGCCTTTTAAAGGTAATTGGTCAGTGCTCTATCAATTTTGAGCCATGTGCAAGACCTGATGATAGGAAATGCAAATGAAATTTGGTCACTTGTCTTGTAAGGCCGACAAACTAATTACCGCAAACAAACTACTCATTGGTAATGTTATTGGAGATAGGCTTCGTCTAGAATCCTAATTCACGATCAACAGTCGGTAGGACGACTATTATTTATCTTCTTTTATAATTACATTATGTGCAAACAATCAATTACTAGTATTCAATTTCATAAAAACGGGATAGCTCAAGAGTTAATAAACGAAACACAATATACAATCAAGTGTATTATATAAAGGGAGAATATCGCGAATATAATTGACTAAAACTGATCCATTTGATTACTAGTCGTTTTATATTTCCTTTCGGTTGAATACTGAGCATGTCTTTATTTTATGTTTAGCCGTTTATTTACTATTAACACTGGTCTGCTGTCATCGTGTCTGCAATGTCTCATGTCAGTAATATTTTCCCCGATTTATCTGATATCGCGTTATTGTAATGCTCATTAGTTGAGGAAAATTAACTATTGTTATCATTATCGTAGGTACCCTTATTCGCCTTTCCAGTTTTTTCTTTGGCTCTTACTTGCTGGCGTCGCTCGAGTTTCAAAATGTCCCGTCTCTCACGCATCGTCGTTCCCGATTGTAATTACCAACGCTTCGAACAAATCGCATTGACTGTTTGAAAATGAACATTATCGAAGGTCAGCTCGAAATTGTTTTAAGTCTAGTCAGCTTCAGAACCAGTGCGTTGCCTTTTAACTAATATTGAGTTTGAACGTTGGTGAGTTCGCTAATATCGTTATTGCTCCCCGCTATAACTGATGAAAACGTAATCAGGTAGAAAAGAAGCCGCAATTGTCATGCAACTCGAAAATTGGTGCTATGCTAATGGGGCATTGAGTGGCACCCAGGTATGTTATACGTTAGCTTCGCTTTACGCTACGAATACATTCCCTTTGTTATTCTTCATTCAGACAGCTTTTATGCTGTCTACCAGGACGTTCTAGGTCCTGGTGGTTGCGCCATTCTCGCCTCCAGGTTTTAAATGCTGCCAAATGCAAAATTGCTTCATATCAGCATTGCTTTATTTAATTTCGATTTTATATTTTGCAGATAGAACACTTTATCTAGCGAAGAAAAGGAACAAGCATTTCCACCGGTTGCGCCAACCTATATTGTAGAATTGCGTTCACAGAGTAATTCTCCCCAGGACGTCCACAGGAAAATGAGGCGGTGGATGGAAGGCGGTGTTGATGTAAGTAGCTAATGGTGACTATTTGTTTATGAATGATTGTTATCTTTGGGTATCGATCGATCCTTTTGAGCACACAGTGAGGTCTATACTCACAATGCTAACAATGATATCACTTGGCAAGAATTTGTAAATCCTGCACAGATTCCCTCTCAGGTTCTTCCTGGGTTTGTGCTGGATCTGAGTAACATTCTTTGTCATGGAGATGCTGATTGAAATTTGAACAATTAGACACCAGGAACTCTATCAGTGGTTTGGCTAGTTTGCTTTTTAGGTCTTTTCAACTAAACATGATTATCACTTTTCTAGTTTTATTTTTGCTTTTCTAACTTTGATGCAAACAACATATTGGCAAGAATAAAAGTTCTCTCCCAGCACCTATATATTACATCTTCAGTCACATTTCTCCACGATTCTGCAACCCAGTTGATTGCATTTAACATATTTAAAGTAGGGATCTCAGTTCCATATTCCTGAAATCAATCAAATGCATCTATCCTATCTTTACACGAGTATTTTATATTAATATAGTTTAATAATTAAACATGCGTGCTTCCTAACTCCCTATTTGAGCTCCAATTACTCGTAATTCCAAATAAGGGTACCTACGATAGAATAACAACAACAATTATCCTACCGCAGAATCGAAGGGGAATAAAAATTTATTTAATAATTAAACAGGGCTATCTTCGATTTGGTGTTCCGACGTCGGGTGTCCGTCACTTGTCTCTAATATAACTAATTAAACAATAAGTCGTTTCAGTAATTAATTATAAGCTCTCGTTCCTCAACAACTTATACAGCTTGGTAGAGCCGTTTATAGCTTGATAGAGCCGTTTATTAATGTGTCCGGTTAAATAATTAATATTTCAGCGATGAAAGAAAGTAAATTTTCGATTTCAAAGGTTATTTGATTATTATTTCCGTGGAATGGCGACGCGACGCCGTACTACCATTCTAAAATTAACGTCGATCATTGACTGCGGATGAAGATTTTACCATGTGACTGCTGATTCATAAGATCGGGGTCAAACGCGAAGGTGTGTCTTCAGACAGCGCTAGAACAGAAGATTGCTCGCCACAATAGATAGACAGTATTCGTCTTGTTGTTGTCTCCAAATTCATCACGTTCCTCAAACTCACGTTGCTCACTCACATCAAAATTCTGACTTTGATGCAATACCCACAATAACGACAACAACTTCATCTCCGACGCAGGAGACACAATACCAAACAATGATCCGCCTAATAGTTTACGGCGCGAATGGGAATGATTTTTCCTGATGATCATGTGAATGCTGAAATAAAAAGGCAAGAGCACTGGAACCTGCCGACGATTCCAAACGAGAAGCTTCATTGCTCTGGGGATCAAACGCGTCGTCTCAAAGTATGTCACGCGGATTAAGCGATTCAACGACTGCCGCGTCAATAAACAACAAATCCACTCAATCAGCATTCGATTGCCAGATCCCAGGACGGAGTTTCCCAAGAATTCGATTCTTCGATTCTAATAAGCAATATACAACATCTTGATTCTAATAAGCAATATACAACATCCAACTTTCCGACTATCTATACGGTTTCTGCACACAAAAGTCGAAACGTTGATCATAACAGTGCATTTAATAGAGCATTAGACGATCTAGAACCTAATTCTACGCTTTCAAATCCGTACGAGTCACTACGAATGTCGCGATCGTTTTCAGACGTGTTACCCCGATCTTTATCGTATAATGATCAGTTAGTGGGTTTTGACAGTCAGAATTACCTCCTGATTCACCCGAGATGTCGATTCTAATGCACAGGATGATAGCAATCCTGACTCGCCAACACCACTGGTGAAAAGAATGACGATTCATTCCCGGAAGAGCTAACGTACCATTCAACATTTGCTGGCAGAAGGCCATATCTGCGAGGACATTATTCAAAAATTCATTCAACATTTTCACCCGAAACGAATCAAAGTAGTATACTCAATGTCGCAGGCAGATTTAACATTTGACAATCAACAACTACTTTCGATGATGCCACAGACACTGCTGCTTCTAATACTACTGAGGCGAGTACTCCATTCTCTTCCGAGTATTCATCACCTAAACAATCGAAACGTCCTTTGCAAGACATGGCAATCAATGTTCAGTCCGACTTTTGTTCAACATTCACCGTCGGACCTCCAGTGCACAATACTCATACAATACTGACAGCGGCTCGTCTCCGGCAATTGCAGCGCCTCGTAAATTCCTTTTACAATCATTTGTGCTCCAAGTAATAAACTCTAGCAGTACAAAAAAATCGATATCTATTCCTATTCAATGATCTCTTAGTTATCGCAGAACCCATTAACGTCGAACCTTATACGATACCTACTTTGGACAACTTATTCCAGATCAAGACGTCAGTTGGGTATTTACTTGGCTGATCAGAATCACAAGAAAGTGTTACTGGCATATTTGGATAGATTGAATTTTGAGTGAATTTACATTGACGAAGCGCTGAGGATATTTTTGATGAGCATAGTTCTACCTCAAACTCAAACAGACATTAATTATTACATTCGCTAAACGATGGATCATGCCAACGCAAATGTAGCCAAATTCAATGATGAAACTGACATTTGCAATGCTAGAACTAAACAACATACACAAGTGCGAGACCATGGGCAAATCGTCTGCCACTTTACCAGATGCAACACACGCTGACACTAGTACTAGTGACTCTTCTGTAACAATCGAAGATTTTATTAACCGATTTCGACGCGAAAGCATGCTGGAAAAGGTATATTGCTCCATACATGATGAAAAACTAGAAACTGCTTGGGATGATACAATGGAAGATACAATGCAGATACCTGTCCCTCTCAATTACCCAGTCAATTAACATTGAAAGAACCATCAGACTTTATCACTGTTTTGATACCTTCTCCAGATCCGCATTTCTACATAAGACTGCATGGGCAGGATCTTCACTTCAAACCATTGGTATTTGATTTCTCTTGTCAGAACACAAAAAGATTCTGTATAACTGGAACTATGCTTGGAACTACACTAGGGTCTAAATTGATGATGCTGATCAATCTGGCACACAACAGGTCAAACGTGAAGGTGTGTTTTCAGACAGTTACAGTGCTACAACTGGTATTTTGCTTGCCACAATAGATAGACAGTATTCATCTTGTTGTCATTGTCTTGTTGACATCCTACACTGGTGCAGTCTTTACCCTGCCACTAATGCTTGGAACCTGAGAACGTGGAACCCCTTTGTAACTTGCCACTGGTAGCTCGCACTGGCTTAGTACTGCCATCTCAGTTCCAGAATACTAGCTTGCACCATCTCAGTTCCAGTATACCAAACAAGACTAGTATCCTATGCTGGTATGGCCTTCACCCTGCCACTGATGTTTGGAACCTGAGAATGCAGAACCCCTTTGTAACTTGCAATTGGTAGCTTGCACTGGCTTAGTACTGCCATCTCAGTTCCAGAATACTAGCTTGCACCATCTCAGTTCCAGTATACCAAGCAAGACTAGTATCCTATGCTGGTATGGCCTTCACCCTGCCACTGATGTTTGGAACCTGAGAATGCAGAACCCCTTTG